AAACTATAATTGGAATAAAACTTCTTATGAGATCTCACCTCCAACAGGTTCATCCTTACAAGGAGTACTACTGCGTCGTCTGGCTCCAGTGGAGCATATTTGCTGCTGTTTATCTGTAGGCATATAACAGACATCATCATCATCTTCACTAGTCAGACTAGACTTGTGTGTCCTCCGTTTATGCTCCATTCGGCCTGAGGACACTTCTTTGGAATAACATGGAAGGAACCGGCGCAATTTTAAAGAGGTCATCTCTTTAGTGGACTCCTCCCCTACCCCAGCCCCATTGGAGCTACCTGCTGCACCTCCGCTATCTCCATTGTCCCGCTCTTTATGAGCACCAGTGCTCTCGTCGTTGCCAATATCCTTCATCACTTCCTGAGCAACTTGAGCCGGCATTAAGGAGCGGATCATATCATCACGAATTTGTTGCTCCTTCTTTAAAGCCTTGCGCATCAGTGCACTGTGTCCAAGCTTGAGAAAGGTAGATCTTCGCCTTACCTGAGAAGGTAGAGAAAACGGATTAGAGAAGAAAAATGTGAATGGGTGAAGTAAATAATATAACCTATGCAAGGAATAAAATTTACATACATACATGCGAGGTTATATTCTGTTTTTCGAATGGCCAGAAATTAAGAAAAAGATATTCATGGGTCTAAATTCTACAATATCATTGAATGCTGCAAAATAAGATGTCTTATTTGCGATTTTAACTTTGAGAATGAAGATGAAAAAATGTTCAGCAATACAGTATTCACGCTCCGCAATACAATCGCATGCTATAAACCATAAACTCAGAAATTAAGAGGTAGATATGCGAACACCAGTGGCTTTTTAAAAGTTATATCCGACTAATTGCATTTTATAAAGTCTTAACACTATTTATGCTTCAAAGGCAAATAGTAGTTTAAGATAACTTTCATAATTGCTCTTAATAACAAAGCAAAGGAGCTTCAAAGATATAATAACGTTTGAAATGCCGCTTAGTTCAGAATAAAACCTAAATCCAACAAGGATCAGGAAGATTTTAGACCAACAATATCTTGTACTTATTATGGGAGTAGCAAACAAGTAAAAAAGCATACTTATTATCGTTTATAAGTAGGGTTTCGAGACTACCAGCAAATGAGTTATATGAGATGTATTCAACCAATTTCGTTTAAAGTGATAAATGGCTGGTAGTTAAATTATCCCACAATGATATGAGTAGAGTTGACGTTTCCATTAAACTTCTCCTAGCCTTG